TTTTGATGCAATCCGTAAGCTTTCGGGCCATTTATTATCTACTATTTCTGGCCAACCTTTTGGACTAAGCACCTGGGACTTTATATTATGTTTCTAATAGGCATAAACTATCACGATGTTAATTTTGGTCAAAGTCCGCGAGTTTGGCCTGAAATACAATGCTGTTGAGTTTTAGTTAATTTGTATGTTATTTCAATTACATGTGATTAATAATTTCCTCCATTATCTTAGTTATTAATAACTAGTAATTGAAATAACACCTCAAATATTTATAATTGGGAAACTATTCTCTTAAATAAATTTTACCCACAAATATGTTATAATTAAATTATAATGATTTTTGTTTTAAATGAAAGTTAATTTAATAATCTAATGTGTACTTTTCATTTTAACCTAGAACACATTTAACTAGAATTTTCACTTTGTTATGCAATAATTCTTAATAATGAACAGTTAAATCATTTTATCAAACAAATAAATGTTATATTAAGTACTAAGTGTTATTTTAAATATATATATATATATATATATATAATTCAATTATAAATTAATGCAATTTATATTATTTTAGGTTTCATATAAATTTATATTTTCAAAATTATAGTATATCCCAGGTCAATGTCAAGGTGCTTAATTTGTGGACCCAGGTATTTCGATTCGAAATTTTCGAGACCTAAGTTGAGGTCCAGTTTTTCTTAGCACTGGACATGTATACTAATTGCACATGCATTTTAATTTTAATTTAATAATTATTACATAATTTCATGATTTAATTTAAGAAAACTTATTAAATAAATGTTTTAATTGGAAAGTTGTTATATAATCCAGACAACATATTGTGTGTGCGCGTCAATTGAAGTAACCTTATACTCACTTCATTACACTATTGTGGAGCTGAGGCCCCCAACACTGACTCATTGAAGTCCACTTCCCTTTCCGTCAACAAATGCTTCATTACCAGAGCTGACATGAATTCACGCTTCCTTTTACATCTGAAATGTACGCGTATTTGTAACCGGGTTATAATCATTTCGATGTGTTGTACGCAATAGAGTTTTTAAATTAACTTAATTATGATATTTAAAGAAATTAAGGGAAATCGATGTCTAAGCCTTGATATGAAGCTAATTCTGTCGTTAATTCTCTTAGAGATTTAATTGATATGCGATTTGAAATTTTTGAGATATATGATTTGAATGCTACAAAAAAACTTCATTATAATCTCAAACTATCTGATGCCAGGTATATTGAAAGTGTATGAGTGTCTGTGTCTACAGAGAATATAAGAGTTAATGTGAGCTGAAAGAAAACATTTTTTCTTAACCATTGTCTATGGGACCGACCCCTCACCGGGTAGACTCCCCAAACGGACAGACACTTCACCTAAAACTGTGAAGTAAGTGACATTCGTTTTCGTAATTTTGACACAAACTGCTGAGTGGGTGCGCTTAGCCCTGGGTCGGACCCTATCATGATGAGTGTGCCGGAACAAACAACATCTGGCTAATGGTTAAAGCATAACAATATTTAATCATAAATACGGTATATTGAATTTTTAAATTAGTACACGTGGCGTGGCGTTGGCCTACCCTATATAAGTTACTGATAGTATATGTCGTTGTCATTGAACATGGATCACACCAAACACTCTGACATCCGTCCGGCGTTTCTCTTACCCGTCCTCTGCCTGATGGCCGTCGTGTTCGGTCGGTCACATGAGGACAGTCCGTGCGATACAGAGTCCGGCACTCCCGGCACGTGTCTCGCGCAGAACGACTGCCTCACCCGCTCCGGCACTCCCGACGGCACCTGTGCCTCCGGAGGCGCCTCCTGTTGTAACTTCAAGTTCACGTGCGGCGGACGAACCAAAGAGAATGACACTATTTTCGTCAACAAACGGTTCCCACTCCCCGACAACGGCACCGACACGTGTCAGGCGACCGTCGACCAGCCGCCCAACGTCTGTCAACTCAGACTCGGTTCGTATTCCCGTTTCTCTGCCGAAAGCACTCTCTTATTAACCCCTTCTTCGACCGCAGACTTCGAGGAGTTCTCGTTGTGTCCTCCGGACGAGAACGGCTTCTGCACTACCGACTCGTTTATGGTGCGCACGACAGGCGGCGAAAACTTTCCCATTCTGTGCGGCCAAAACAACGGCCAACACAGTTAGCTCTCTCTCTCTCTCTCTCTCTCCACCCCTAAACACCTGTTTTGCCGACAGTTTACGTGGATATGGGTCGCGGATCGGCCAATTCGGTGGTGTTATCGGTCGTCTCGAACGTCGATCACATCGACCGCAAGTGGAAGATCCGGATCAATATGATTCCGTGCGATAACCTCCATATGGCGCCGTCCGAATGTCTGCAGTACTTCCGGTCGCCATCGGCTGTCGTCCAGAGTTTCAATTACGGCGTTCCGGTCGGTATATGCCTTGCGTTTTGCGGCGATCACCATAACTGTGTTTCGCCCACAGATGGAGAGCAGAGCCCGCTATCTGTCGAACCTTCGCTACACGTCTTGCGTTCGCGTCAATGAGAACTTCTGTGGGATCTATTGGGAGAAAGACATTCCCGGCTCCTTCTCGTGGGGCACACCTGGAGAGGGTAACCTCGCAGAGCGAGGCGCCAGCGGCGGTCTCTGCGATGGCGACGACTTCATTGGCATCGATCAGCTAAGCGCTGACGGCAACGGTTCCAAAGAGGACAGGATTTGCGGCACAAAACTGCTTGAAAACGATCACATCATTTGTGAGTCTTTGTCGGCGTTTGGATTTCACGCCAATTGTGACCCTTTCTCTCATTGACAGCGCACTCCAAACCCTTCCAACTGAAAGTGCGCTCAAACAATGACCATGGCCTGAACTCACAGAACTCACAGCACGGTATGAATGCGCGGAAAGTGCCGTTCAATGCGGACTAACTGTCTCTCTCTCTCTCTCTCTCTCAGGCTTTTCGTTGCGTTACGTGCAGTTGCCGTGTGTTATTGGTTCACCTCATAAGGCCTACCACCCATCATGCCAACCACTCAAAAGGACTACATTCCCCCCGTTTCCGCAGACATTTCCCAAAACGTCTAAAAGCGCCCGAAGAACTCAAATAATAAGAGGACTAATAAGAGGCAACATTTAATAAACATAACATTTATAAAATTAAATATTACTCCAGAATCGCAGTTAGGCATCGAATTGCCTGTTAATCCTTGTCCTATGATTTATTGTATTTGAGACATTACACTGTTGTTATATAATATAAATAAAATATTAACTTAAGGGATTGTTTTCAATAACTTATTTTATTTATCAGTGAAAGGTTAAAAATATTAACTTATTTGTAGAACCTGGCTAATGATAAGAATATGTGATGTTATTTATAAAACATGACATACCGTTCCTATAGTTGTCGATTGCAGGCATTGAACATATGTTTGAAGAGGGTATACATACCGATCAGATAGGGTCTCAAATTATCCATCGGCGCAGTACAGGTGCACATTCCGGCGCCCACATCACCACAGGGGTACTGTTATAGTTATATAATAGAGATATTAAACTTATTTGTAGAACCTGGCTAATAATCAGAATAACAGTCAACCCTCGTGATGTTATTTATAAAATAATTAATTATTTATTTGATCTTAAAACAAATGTATTTTAAATAGTTATGCAATACTATCATATATCAACTGAATAAACAATTCAATCAGATTCTGTTAAACTACTAATTAATTCCAAAAAATTATACAGTTAATTAATTTGCAATTATTTAAAAGTCAATTACAAAATTAATGATTTTATTTATAAAACTTTAATTAATATTTATGCAATGTCTTTAACCTATTTTCAAGGTATGTTTACTTTTAACTTTACTTAAATTAAATTATTTATATTCTATATATCCTTGAATCAATAGATTTATTAATAATTATTGCCCTGATTTATACTTCAATTTCATATATTCAATGTAATAATAATGAAAGTATAGCATATGCTAATTGTCCGGACCCAGATGCAATTAAGCCATGTATATGTCATAAAAGTCATATGACATGCGATGGGGACCAGGAGTTTATATTCAGTGCAATCATAGAGACCCTGAGCACCCATTTATCAAATGGAAGCAAATATTTAAGTAGATTTGAGTTCATGTCCAACAAGTTGTCAGAACTTCCAGAAAATGCATTCAAAGACATCAGCTCTAAGTTGGTGTGGGTTATGGGCGCCGACACTCTTAAATCAATACATGTGAATGCGTTTCACGGCACAGATCGGGTGAGTCCAACAAGTTGTCAGAACTTCCAGAAAATGCATTCAAAGACATCAGCTCTAAGTTGGTGTGGGTTATGGGCGCCGACACTCTTAAATCAATACATGTGAATGCGTTTCACGGCACAGATCGGGTGTCAGAGACCCTGGAGTTACGTAACTGTCCACTACTAGACACCACAAACCTGTTTGATATACTGAATAAATTTGTCAAAATTAAAGAAATAAGTCTCAAGGAAATTAATTTGCAGTCAATTCCGACCCACGCTTTCAAAAGTTTGGAAACTCTGGAAAAAATAACACTATTTGACAAAAAATTGAAAACTATTGGCGAAAATGCATTTCAATCACTAAACGCATTGAAAAAACTAGAATTGACTCAAACATCATTGACTCGTATACCTAAAGGTGTATTAGTTTTCAGTATTAATACGGAATTGAGTTTTAAATTAATTATCCAGAATAATGAATGGCTTAATAATACGGGTTTGAGTGCAGAATCCCTGAGCCATTTAGGTAGACCTACCACTATATCCATTAACCACACATTCAAGAACCCTCGGAAGTGGAAGTATTTGGAGGAAACTGTGTTTAAGTCCTTTATGATGGCTAATGATAATAATAAGTATGATAAGGAGAGCGTGAGGTCATATGAAACACCACTACTGGCGTTAGTTACCGAATTCTGATTGGGATTTGATTACCTCTCTAATAAAACCTAACTGAAACTGTTGTTTCAGTTTGTACAACAAAGTTAAAATATAATAAACAGTATTTTTTAAATTAATTAAATGTTCCGTAAATTAAATTTAATTAATTAAATCTTATGTTTTTATGCATTTTTCTAATATCTTATTGATTAAATACTTTCACAAAAAATAAATAATAATTTCAATTAATTAGTTTATATAATATAATACAAACTCTATAAAACATTAATTAACAGGTGAATAATTAAAAAGTCACACACAATACATTTCAACCTAAATTACAAAACAATTTACGCCCACAAAAGTACATTTTGTATTTCTACATATTTTCTAATTTACAAAATTCTCTTACAAATAAATATAGTAATATATGAAAATTACAAATTACAAAACTAATTAAGTGTTTTGTAAGTAAAAATAAAAATATACATTGATTAATTTAAATCAAAATAATAATTGATAAATATGATTCTGGTTGTGGTATTAATTTCTATTCTTATACCAATTGCTTACACTAATAATGTTTATATTCAAGACAATCCTAATCCTAAGCCCGTTTGGAATAAAGCTACTCAGCATCCAGTTAAAACAACTTACCAGGTTCAAAATACCTACAAAATTAATCCTGCTTACCATGGTCACTTTAGTCACATATGTCCAGAAGGAGATGCACTAAAGCCTTGTTATTGTCATAAAAATTTTGTCGTATGCGATGGGGAACAGGAGTTTGAATTACCGACTATCGTACAGACATTGAGTGAAACAGCAAATAGTAGTAAATTTTTGTGGAGATTTGATATCATGTCTAATAAGATCACAGAATTGTCTGAAAATACATTCAAAGACCTCAACATATGGTTCATATGGCTAATGGGTGCCGAAAACCTCAAGACCATCCACTCGGACGCCTTTATCGGAACCAATAATGTGACTCGAAATTTGGAGATATCGTACTGTCCACTACTGGACACCACAAACCTGTTTGAAGTGTTGAATAAGTTTGAGAAATTACAATTTCTGGTGCTGAAGGAAATTAATTTGCAGTCCATTCCGGCCAACGCTTTCACGGCATTGAAACACTTGAAGACCATTCATATAAGCGATAGTAAACTCGTAACGATCGGCGAAAAATCGTTTTATTTGCTACCAGTGCTCCAGATGCTCGTAATTAGTCAGACATCGATGACTCGTATACCCAAAGATGTATTAGTTTTTAGCAATGATTACGATATCAAGACTACCGTTAAATTGCTTGAGAATCCATTGCTTAAGAGTGAGAGTTTTGAAGTGGATTCATTGGCACATATGGGAAGACCTACTATTTTACATTTACAGGCCATCAACAAAAATCCCTATCAATGGAAATATCTATTGGAGTCAGCCTTTAAGCCATTTTTGTTGGAAAACCGGGAAAATGTTGTCGTGCTTATAGGACATGGAGGCTATGTTGTACCCGATAAGCGTAATGAATGGTTACAGAGTAACAAGAAGCTATTGAAAAAAGTTGTTAGATTTGGAGCTTGGAATATGAAATAATTGTTCATTTATTCATAATTGATGCTAACAAAACCATTATGTTATAAATAAAATGTACTGTAAAGTGATTTATCTATGTTTTTAAAGTATAAATGATATTAGTATATAAATTTAATTTTTTAAAACTTAATTGATACACTAATTACTGGACAACACCGTATTTATAGCGCATAATACTGTGTATAGTATAAAAATTATTTTAGTTTGCTGTTCAAATTATGATACTGTATTTTTTACATAAATTGAAAACAAATTTTTAAAAAATAATAATGATTTATGACATGTTTAATAAAGCTACTGTATTTAATCATTTGTGGAAATAAAAGAAAAAGCAATACAATTTTACATTTACCTATTTGCAAATATTTTAAACAATTTAATGTAATTTAATGTTAATAAATAATGGAACCTTAATTATGATAAGATAGTAATTAAATCGTCGACTATTATAAAGATAATTAAGACAATCATTAAAATTAATTACTGTAAAAACAGGTGTCCAGTTAATAGTTAGTTATAAATCAAATGATAAAAATTTAGGCTTATTATCAAACACAGTTTTCAAATCTATATTATACTTTTGATAATTTGTAATTAAATAGATAAAGTTTAACAATGACACAACTATTTTACAAAAGTTTGTATTCAGAATTATAATTTTATGAATAATCCTAAAACTTATCAATTTTGATCTCAAATCAGGTTTTATATTAAGCTTGCTATTAGTGATTGGCTATAAAGGAGTTCATAGTGAGTGTCCGTACGGGGATGGGGTCAAGCCGTGCACCTGTGCCGGGGATGAGATATTCACGTGTGCGGGCGATAAGCCCATAAACCTGAAGGAGATTTTTGGCAAATTTAGCAAAACCTTAAAGGATGACCAGAAAGAGTTGGAACACATTATTATCAAGAACTCGGCCATAGAGGAGATACCGGACAATGTGTTCGGAGACATCTATTTCCGGACCATTACTTTTACCGGTTGTACTAACCTCAAGAAAATTAGTCCCAATGCCTTCTCGGGCACCGACACCTTCACTGAGAATTTTAACATAGATAATAGTCCAAAATTAGGGGCCACCCCTAACGTACTCTTTGATGTGTTGAATAAATTCAAAAAACTTGCAGTTATTAACATAGGTCATGTAGGTAGGTGCCAAAACTAAATTAAATTTTTAAAATAATTTCTGTTTTATAATATTTTCTATTATTAACGACGAAATGAGAGTAAATTAAAAACTAATTGAATGAATAGGTCTGAAGGAGATCCCATCGCCTGTATTCAAATCAATGGACAAATTGTTTTGGTTGGCCATCAATGGGACGGAAATCACAAAAATCAATGAAAAGGCTTTTTATAATTTAAACACTTTGACGGAACTACACATAACCGA